GTATCTTCCTCTTTCAATTACAAAAGTAAGAAGTGAAAAACAGGGGGAAAAACCCTTCTTTTCTCCTGTTCTGCAAAGTTGTAGCTTGTTTTTGGTTTTTGTTTGTTTGTCTGTTTAAATATGTTTAAATTTACTATCCTCCTTAAGGAAGTGATAAACAATTAAAGCCCTATTCAAAGTAAATATTCTAAAGACACAACTTGTGGCAGTTCAATTTGGATCCAAGACAATTACTAACAAACTCAAAACACAGCATGCTGGAAAAATTATATACCATTGCAGGTCATATTATCATTCAAGGGCTTCCATAGTCCCTGCACTCAAACACCTCCTTGACTGTAGCTCTTTAAAGTGATGTTTAAAAGTGAATGAAAAAGATAGGCAGATTAGAATTAAAAATTGATTTTTCCCCCAGCGTCATATAAGCAGGAACAAGATGGCACGAACATACTTCAAAATTTATAATTCAGGTTATATGAAATAATTTCCCAGTCAACTTCTGTCTGCAATTGCACAAGAAATGGTTCTGGTTATCTGCATTTGCAGCAGCACAAATAATCAACCCCCTCAAACACAGACAGATCCTGGGCAGGCAGGATAAAGGAAAGTGAACTGAAATATTCGAACATTCAAGTTTATGTTTCAGCAAAAGCTCAAGTGCATTTAAGAGTGAATACTTATCTGCAGAAGCTGTCACTCACACTCTGGTCCTATCATTAAAAAGGAAATAATCATTTACAGTCATATAAAGAGGCTCTCTCATAGGAGGATTGGGAAGTTAGGATGAGCAAACACTGCATTACACACAACTTCCAACAAATTATTTGTTCATTTCCAGACCTGTAAATCAATCTGGCATTAGCTCTCTATTCCTGAAATGCCTGAATTTGGCTATACTTTTGTTGCCATACTAATCAGGAAGCAAATTACACCAATTCCAATATATTAATTACTGAGCTTTAGAGGGGGGAGAAAATATTGGGGTATGTACAGGAAGTGTTCACTCTTCTCTGTCCTGATCTTGTCAAATCTTTGTTTAATTGCAGACATGTTAATTCTCTGCTAACCTGAGAAATCCTGCATCAAGATTTTAAGCAAATAAATAAGTATAAAAGATGCAGATATTATAAATTAGGGCAGACAAATCTGTATCTAGACTCGTGCCTGCAAAGAGCATTCTATCAATATAGCGAAATGCTAATCTCCTAATTAACAACCTAATTAGGTAATTATGGCTTTGCAGAGGGATGCCTAAATGAAATATGACAACATGGTCACCTCTTTATATGGCACCTGTGGGCCTTTTCAGCTGTCACTGCCGAGAGTGCAATATCAATTTGAACAGATGACAAAGTGTTGTCATTTTTCATTCAGATATTGTGCTGAACGCTGGGATCGAGGCCGCTCCGAGACGCTGTGTCTTGCCTGGGCTCTGCCTCATCTAAATATGTGCAAACACTTTGCTTAATTTTTAATGTCTCTGATTAAGCTTGGTTTTTCATGCTGTCTGCAGGCATTCCGTGACACACACCACAGCTGCAGTGTCACACTGGGGTGACCCACAAGCCCGGAACCCCTGTGGCCCAATTTCACAGCACGAGTGCAGGAGAATCGCTATCCAGAAAAAATATCTGAGTATTTGAGTTCATTTTTGAGGCTTAACTGCTGCTGGCTTTAACATAACAAAACAAAACCTGAGGACCTTGTAAATAACACGTGATAACATGAATTTTACTTTTTTTTCTGCTGAACACTCTTTCCCAGGGGAACAGCAGTCCCTGTCCAGGAGAAGTGAAACTGATGGGACTTTTGCACAGAAAGCTGGGAAGGAACACTTTCAACAAAGGTGCTTTTCCATGGAATGCTTTTTGTCACCCATATGCCTAAAATGCTTTAAAGACAATTCGCTAAGCTCGAACATTCCTAAAGGCCATCAACCTGTTGGAGCGGGTCTGGAAGAGGCCACAAAACTCATCAGAGGGATGGATCTCCCCTGCTATGGGGAAGGGCTGAAAGAATTGGGATTGCTGTGCTAGGAGAAGAGAAGGCCCAGGAGTGACCTAAATGCAGCCTCCCAGCATCTGAAGGGAGTCCACAGGAAAGATGGAGAGACACTATATACAGGGGAAGGAGGGACAGGACACAGAGAACGGCTTCCCAGTGCCAGAGGGCAGGGATGGATGGGGTATTGGGAAGGAATTGTTCTCTGGAAGGATGGGCAGGTCCTGGCACAGGGTGCCCAGAGCAGCTGGGGCTGCCCCTGGATCCCTGCAAGTGTCCAAGGCCAGGCTGGACACTGGGGCTGGAGCAGCCTGGGACAGTGGGAGGTGTCCCTGCCCATGTCAGGGGGTGGAACAAGATGGGCTTTGACCTCCCTTCCTTCCAACTCAAACCACTCTGGGATTCTGTGATAAATAAAACATCTTATTGAAGAGTGGAGAATGAAAGCACAGGCTAGGATTGCTTGAATATTAGACTAGAGCTTCTATTTTCACAATTCTCAGTGTGATATTCAGGAGCCTAAAAAACCTAATAAATTTTATAAACACCTATACAAGCTTCAATCTTAAAAAAAACTGAACAAACCAGAAAGCTTCACCATATCACCTTTTTGCCTGTTTGCTACTGAGAGAGATGCTACTCTCTTTGGGTTTTACACACACAAATGTCCCCAGGCTCACAGAAGCTGCCTTGTCTGGACCCAGGACAGAGCCTGGGGATGTGATGCAGGTCCAGCCAGCTCAGGGGCCCACAGCACAGCCACTGCACAGCTCTGCAGCAGCACCATGAAGGGTGGTCTGACACTGCTGGGCCAGGCAGGGGGTCTGCCTTAAACAGCAGTGCCTGTCAAAATGAACACTATGGTCTTTGTTGGTTTCTTTAGGTTTTTGCCATTCCACTTCTGAGTGCATGTAAATATTTTTATTTCATTAAAAAACATGATCATAATCTTATTCTTTAAGTACAGCAGCATGCAAGCTGCTTCTGACTTCAGAAACACTCATGATGATCAGACCTACTTAAAAATGCCTGAGACCTTCAGCCCCTTTGGGACTTTATGTCAAATGGAACTGGACAGATTCACATTTCTTCAGCAAAAGATTAATCCCCTGTTCCTCTGGCTTTTAATTTTGGGTCTGTCTCTTTCAAGAGCACACAAAACATATTCAAGAAGCTTTGTTTTGCTTTCAGAATAATGGCTTTAGATATAACACTTCTCAGGCAATAAGCAAACAAGGTAGGGATTGCCCTTGTGCTGTCTGGGGTACGAAACTGAGCTGACAGACAGTGAACAACGAGGCATCACAGTTTGATGGAGCTCCTCAGCTCACACACACACACAGAGTTAATATTAAAACACAGCCTGGGGTCTGTGTCAGAGGCACTAACAGAAAAGCCCTGCAGAACTGCTGCTACAACACCTGAGACAGCCCCTCCCTGTACAGCAGGTCCCAGGTGTGGGGCAGCACCATGACAGCACCAACACCCCATGAGAGCCCTAGGGGCCACCAGAGCTCTTCTCCCACACCTCAAACCTGCCCCTTCTAGCACCTGAACAGCAAGAAAGGAAGAGAGCCTGAGCTCTATCCCCATTTCTCAGCCAGTGTCATTTGCTCTTGGACATCAGAAGGAATTCTGGATAACAAAAGGAAATTCTTCACAGAAAGGGTTGTCAGGGTTGGAAGGGGCTGCTCAGGGAGGTGGTGGAATCACCAGCCCTGAGGTGTTCAAGAAAGGACTGGACATGGCACTCAGTGACAAGGTGGTGGTGGTGAGTCAGAGGTTGGACTCAATGATCTCAGAGGTTTTTTCCAACCTCAGTGATTGTGTGATCTCCAAAAAGAATGGCCATATGGGAGCCGGGCTGCTCCTACATAGGGATGTGGCCAGTATGCTGTTCACCTGCTGTGCCATTTGTTGCCAAGACTGACCTTTCCAAACAGGTGTGTGCTTTTCATGCTCATAACTTCGAACGGTTGGGAAAATGTTGTGCTACAAAACGGGTAACAGAGATCCCTGTGCCAGGCTGCTTCACCTGCCCAGGCCTTCACTGATCCAAAGGAAATGCACAAAAAGAATGTAGCTGTTACTTGTTATTTTAACATTCGTTTTTCATTATTTTAACATTTGTTACTTGTTGCAACTAGGTGAAAAGATAACCAATAGATGAGGAAAGGGTGTTACAACAAAGACCTGAAACATGACTGATACAGAAATGTACTAAATTGGTTCTCCCTGCTTCAGTTATTTCTGTACAAGTCTATACGTACATGCTGATCTCAATTTATTTTTAATCTAACCCAAAAAAGTGTCCGTGAATGGAGCTGCTCTGAATCTAGAAAAGTAACTGAGAATCTAATTCCCACTCTTGCATCGACCTGATAATCCCCCGACACCTAAAATCGTGGAGAACACGCTCAGGATATCCAAGCTTGGCTCTAGCATCTGTTTAGTCATTTACCAAACTTCCACTAGCACAGAAATCGACTCATTGCTGCGTCTCCTGGACACCCTTCCCGTTCCCCCACTGTTCCTGCGGTGTTCACAGCTCTGACGGCACTGGCAAGCGGGTGGAGAAGCGAGAGCCGCATCCAGAAAGGCACCAGGGTGCGATCACGCTCGAAGCGTCCACCCGGCACAGCTGGGCAGGCAGAGCCGTCCCTGCGGCCGGCAGGAGCGGCCAGGAGACGGGGACAGGGGGAGAGTGACGGAGACTTGGATGGAGTGCCTGGCACCCGGCCAGAGACCCCGGGGTCCCCGCGTGCCCCCGCTCGGCACGGGGCGCGGACATCCCGGGGATTCCTGCCGTGCCCGTGCCCGGCGCTCCGGCCGCACTCATCTGTCCCCGCCACCCATCGCTGCCGGCCGCTCGCCNCCTACCCAGGCCGTGATGGCCCGGGCCGGTCGCTCACCGGTGCCGCACGGCAACACGCAGGAGGCTTTTCTCATGGAGATCGCTCCGGTTTTATTTCCAGTTTCTTGCTAAAAACACTGTGACGTTTGTATTTATTTGGTAAATTTATTTGGTAAAGCGCCCAGGTAGCGCTCGGTGTACAAGCACAAAGAGGACAAATATTAAACACTGTCATTGCTGCCCGGGACAGGGATGAAGAACGCTGCAGCATCCGCGTGTTGTCCGGTGCTCCGGTGAGCCGGGGCTGTCCCCACACAGCTGCCTGGGCGAGCAGGGGAGCCCAGCCACCCCCAGTCCGCACCACACCTCCGGCCTCCTGGAGCTGCAGGTGTTCCCAGGTGTTCACAGCGTTCCTGTTCCTCGTGGTGCCTGTTCCTGGCCTGCTGGCTGTGCGTCCCTGTCACCTTTCCAGAGTTGCTGGTGCAGCCTCCACAATTTCCTGTGGAATTAAGGAGACTTGTTAATCCCCAAGGAAGGCCTAACCTGGCAGTCTCAGCAGTTGTATGCATCAAAAACCAGCTGCCTTTGAGAAGGACAGTGGACAGCATGGCACAAGTGCCACCAAAGGCCTATGATAGGTACAGTGACTGGCAGCAGTGCAGGAGTGAGGGCCCAGCTGGTGCTGGGCATATCGCAGGGAGTGCCCAGAGCTCTGCAGTGGTTGGACTCAGCCTCCTAAAACAGTACAAAAAAAATCACCCAGAACATCAGCTTTCTGCTGATGTGGTGAGGCTGAGCAGGTCCCTCAGGGGTCAGGGAGTGCTGTCCCGTTTGGCAGGGTCAGGGACTAGGGGAACTGCCCATTCCATCTGTGACCCCCTCAGGGTGCATCTGTGAAATATTCACAATAGTACCAATTTAAAAATGCATTTGGGGTAGCATTCTTTGTAAAACTGGATGACCCTGAAAACTCATTGGTTCAAGACAGACAATGGTGCAGCAACTAGGATGTAAAGTAACTGAAATGTGAATGAATTTACTAATTGCATGGGTGGGCAATGAGACCCCAGATTTGTTGACCAGGAGCCATCTCTATCTGTACCAGCCACACGTGACCCCAGCTAAAGGGTTCCAGTGACAACCAGGGCCCAAGTGAAGGTGTGGGATGGCAATGCCAGCTGGGATTGGGGGGAGCTGGGAGCTCTACATCACCCACGCCAAGCCTGAGGCATTAGCCAGACCACCGGGAAGGTTAGATGAGGATGAGGGTTGAGTCTGGGCATGACTGCACTGAGATTGTCTATCACACACAGCATACAGCAAATTAAGGATCATTGGAAACAGCCACTGTGACTCTTCATGGAGCCTAAAGGTGGTTTCCCTAAGAGATCTCTGGGGGTCTCTGCGTTGTGTTAGACACCAACCAAAGTGTGAGCAAAATGGACCAGACTGGAATGAAATTGGAGTGGGGGAGTGTCCCACGTGAGGGCAATCTCAAGGGTGGCAGAAATCTACAGGTAACCTCAAGAGAATGAAGTCATAATGACCTTTGGTGCCTGTGCTTTTTTCTCTTCCCATCTTCGCGGTTCTGTGCATATTTACAAAAATATAATCTGCAATTATCCCCGGTAACGCACGGCCTGAGCCGTGGGCTGTGCCAAAGGCTCCTGTTCTGTCCCGCGGCTTCACCGCGGGGACACGATCAAGGCACGGGCCGCGACGGACCGGCCCGGGACCCTACATCCTGTGCCGGGGCTCCACGGCACGACCGCAGCTGCCGGCCACGGCCTCGGGAGCTCGGGAGGCACCGGGCCCGGCCCGGAGGGACCGCGCGGCCCTGGCCGCCGTCACCA